TGACCCACACCTGCCAGGGGAAATCCGTGGCCACACTCTGAAAGGGAACCTACCTGGAAAGACCATCAACAAAGAGGATTTGTGCACAGCTGTTCTCAGGAGCTCCCAGGAGACAGCAAATGTATGGGAAGGAGGTGGAGCGGGTGTCGCCTCTTTGAAGGGAAGCCCCAGAGAAAGAGCCGCTAAGTAGGCTAATGCATACGGATGTATCCTCCCAGGGTCTCCACCCACACGCAAGGAGCCTTACTGAGAAACGAGGTTCTTTTTCGCTATGAATTAATCTCTCTTGCCCAATGGAAAATTTTGGTCTCAGCCCACAAAGGGGGGGGGGAATAAAAGTTTAATTTTTTAGATACTACAAGGCTTACCTTTAGGAGATACCGCTAAGTCCTCAGACCAAAGTGGGTTATGGAAATGACTTATAACTTTATTCATCTCAAAAACATCTAATTAAAAATTGCCCCATAATGTTTAAGCCATCAACACTGCATGGCATTTCTCTGTGTAAAACCTTCCAATGGCTTTCCAGTAGAATAAAACCCAAGTCCTTCTTAGGCCCCAAGGGCCTATATGACCATACTTTGTCCATATAATTTTATCATTGTTCTCACCCCTGGGCCTTTGCACGTGCTGGTCCCTCAATGTGAAATGTGCTTTGTGGACCCATCAGGACAGGTGTCTGCACAAATGATCCACACATATCAGCTACTTCTTTTCACATAGGTCTAGCTCCAGCTGGAGGGACCTTCCAACTCACTATCATATTGCCGCACTATCACGCTTGTAACCCTTGTCATTATAAAAATATATTTCCATGTCCGGTTTCCTCTGTGATAACAAGAGCTCTGAGAAGGCAAAGTTCTCATCTGCCTTGTCGACCAAGCACGAGGTCTGACATGCCATATGTTCAGAATATTTATTGAATCAGCCATCCCTTCCCCTAAGATGACACACCCATCTGTAGGAGCAGGCCACAGCTGCCCACATCTCTGTGTCCAGTGACCACTGACAAAACAGTGTAATTAATGGTGGTAAACAGAGCAACCACCAATAGAAAATAGAGGGCCGTTGTCTCTCCTTACAACTCCACAGGCCATTTTTTATAACAGCCCCCAGCCTTTCAACCCCGTGCAGCTATATTCACTGTTGACATCATCTGAAAGCACTGGGTCCCCTCATTTTGAAGCTCCATTGCTGATTGATTCTTTAATTAAACTTTTAATATTTATACATGTGCCTCGAGGCAGTATTTTAAATAATGGAGGTAGACATTGGGAAGGGCCTCGTGCTTTCTTAAAAAAACATCATCTCCACGTTTAAGGTCTTCAGTACAACTACATGAGTGAGTGTGGACGTGACAGGTTAAGGGATGGTTTTAGGAAAGTCAGCTGGTACTCACTTGTGGCTTGTGCTTACTGTGTAACTCCCATGCTGGGCGGCAAAGGCGGGGCGAGCTGCCCTGTGTCCTTCAGAGAAAATGTGCTCGGATTTCAATACTCTCCTTACACGCCACTGGGAAATGGCGCGTCCCCAAAGTATTTTCTCTGTCAAATATGATTTCCCTCTTGGAACGTGTTCATTATTCCATACATCAGCTTAAAGGATGCAAACACAATGGTCTAATTTTTGGAAAGGTGAAATGTGTGTGTATGTGTGTGTATACATCTGTGTATATGTACATACACACACACAGGGTGGACTCAATTTTCTGGATACAAAAAAAATCTGAAAAGACTTTGATAAAATATATAGCTTTGTACGGCTTTAGCTAAAAGGATTAAACCTATTTTTTTTTTAAGTCATCAGAGATATGAAGATGTGTGGAACACCTTTGCTCAGACCCTACAGGAGAAGATAAAAAAAAAATAGCATCAATTATTATGAAAAGAAAATAGGGCAGAATTTCAGGAGGATAAACCTCAGACCCACGTTTTGCTTGGCTTCCAAGTGGAAAGCTCTGGGGCCACAGGACAATGTTCTGAGAAGAGTGAGACTTACTATGATGTCACTGAAACGTCAGACCTGTTGACAAGCAAATCCCTACTTCCCCCAGACCCTGGTTAAAGTTCTGCTTTGATGAGTTGGACAATTTTAGATACCTCCTATAAGTGGGTTCTCGATAAAATAAACAAATAAGTTCTGGAGATTTGCTGTACAATACTATATGGTATACTTAAAAATCTATGAAGAGGGCGGCGCCGGCCCTGTATACCGAGGTTGGCAGGTTCAAACCCAGCCCTAGCCAAACTGCAACAAAAAATGGCCAGGCATTGTGGTGGACGTCTATAGTCCCAGCTACTCAGGAGACTGAGGCAGGAGAATCGCCTAAGCCCAGGAGTTGGAGGTTGCTGTGAGCTGTGACTCCACAGCACTCTACTAAGGGCAATAAAGTGAGACGCTGTCTCTTAAAAAAAAAAAAAAACCCTTCCCCCCATTTAAAAAAAAATTATGAAGAGGGTAGATCTCGTACTGTGCTCTTAACCACAACAAAATAAAAAGTACAATTTTGTAAAACCTGATCAATGGGTTTACTCCCATACTCAAAGGCTTTTGGAGGGGGCCAGCGCCCTACTCCTTTGAGCCACAGGCTCATACAGTTTTTTCTTTTTTAAATCACAAAAAGTTTGTATTTAAACACAGTCATTGTAATGTGTGGCTCACAGGATAAATGATAAAGCCACTTCTAATAGTCTTTAATTCTTGTGTTTTCAAAATATCACAGGTTTCAAAGGAGTGTTTTCCAATTAAAAAATAAATTTACTAAGGCAATGCTCTCATTCTAGGAGGCCAAGGAGATGAAGACAGAAGAAATGCACACTGTTGCAGAAACTTAACTTCAGGATACTTATCCAGACAGCAAGTCCAAGGTCACTAACCTATGTCCCAGGCAGTGGGGAGATTGAACCTTGTCCTCCTTGGAACTTGAGCAGTGTAGATAGAATAGGAGCGGTCAGGCCAGCTACAGCTGGGTGGGCTTGAAGCTTCTGTTGTTTACTTAAAAGGAAATGCAGGTGTGTAAGACAAGCTACCTGCCTCTTCTATCCCACCCAGACCTGGTTTTATAAAGCTCAAAAATTAGAGCAATCTATTTGGAGAAAAGAAAAAAGAAAACTAACATAATTCAGGCACTTATCATGTGCTAGACACTCTTCTAAGTGTTTATTGCTTTATTTAATTCTCACAAAAAAAACCCTCTACCACTAAAACTCATCTTACAGATGAACAGACTGAGGCACAGAGAAGTAATGTAACTTGCCCAAAGACACACAGCTAGCAGATGACCAAACTAGGAGGCCTGCACTCTTCTGGGCCACAAAGCTCCATTCTCTGGACCCTTAAGGTGTCACCTCCACTGCTGTAAGGAATGATGCCTTTTTTCCTAACCCAACTAGACTATAAGCTAATTTAGGGGAAACCTAGGGGATTCTTCAGCCTCCAGGGCCTCCCAGATGAGCTCAGAGAGGTAGAAGATGTGAAGCCAGCCCCACTGTGTGCCAGCACAGCCACTGCCAGCCCCAACTTCACCCTTCACAGGCCCCAGGTCCTTGCCTCTGAAGATAAAAGATCTTGGCTAAAAATAATTCTGCCAGCGGCTCCAGCCAGGCCCACTGTGGTCACTTAAAAATTGAAAGGATCCAGCCCTCTCATCTTTTCTTTTCCCCCTTTTGTAACAGAGATAAATGAAGGTGGGTGAACTAGTGGGGAAGGTCGGGTGGGGGGATGCGGGGAAGGGATCTCAGGCTGGGAACACCCTAAACTTGCTTAGTAAAGGCCAGGCCTCTTTACATATGAAATTTTAAAATAAAACCAATCATTATTATTATTGAAGAAAACTCAAGTTGCGATGCATTATTTTTCAGCTCAAACAAAGCTGTGACACTGCACCTCCCCCACTTCTTTCCAAGTTCAATGGAGAAGACCTGAGGTTGGATGCCCGACTGCCTGGATTTCCAAGCCCCAGGCTCTTCGTGAGCAGCCCCGCCCCTGATACTCCTGGGCAGGCAAGTGCACCCCACTCTGGCCCATCCAGAAGCAATGAACCCCTTATTCCTTGGCAGTAAGGAATGAATAGAGTTGGGAGCCCCATGGTAAAATGGGATCAGGGTCTTGCCCTCCCTTCCTGAGCCGACTGTCTCCCAGCTCCGCGTGACTTCTGGTGCCTGAAGCCGGCGCCTGGGAGGCTCAGGAGCATCCCAGACCAGGCGACCTCCGGGCGCGAGGAGATGGGAGCTGCGCCCCCCGGAGCCCTACCCTCGCCTCTGTCCCGGACAATTGTTTGATTAGAGCAGACAAGGGTCGACCCCTGGCCTGCTTTCAGACACAGTGCAGAGGTCTGCTATCTCTGGGCTCCCTTCCCGGAGGTGACGGTGCTCTAAGGAACTGAAGGAGCCAGGGGCGCAGCAGGAGTTTCCCACTCCCGAGTTTCCCAGCTGGCCCCCTCCCCTGGAGTCCAGGCTGCATTTGGGGCGTTGATCGCGGTGCCAGTAAACACAGCCGTGCTCCCCGCTGGCCCAGCGAGCATCGTCTTCCCCGCCACGCACAGGGGGTTCGGGCGCTTCTAAGCGCCCTCAGGGTTACCGAGGCGCCTCCTCCTCCTTCAGAACCCACGAAGGGCAGCGGAGGAGGCAGCGACCCGAGCGCGTGCAGCCCGCCAGGAGACGAATCGAAGTGCGCAGGCAGGTTCCTGCTGCTCCCTGCACCTAGGACCCACTCCCGAGAGGACGAATGAGGCTGCCTGGGCGCTTCGGAGGGGCGCTCTGGGGCGAGCAAGGACGTGCTTCTGAAAGCGACGCGGGTGGGAGGGGGTCTCGGTCTGGGCACGGGGTTGGGGTGGGGAACGTGCAGCGAGATCGCTCCACACACACTGAAAAAGTTCCTGTCCACCGCGCCCAGACGAGCGCTAGAAGAAGGCCAGCTCTTGGGGACCCAGCTCTTCCCTCCCTGGGACCCCTTGGGCCAGGTCACGGGGACGCAGAGGCAGGGACTCCGCCTGGACTTACCTAGAATTCCCGGGGCGCGCCGGCTGCGGTGGCCTTCTCTTCGGCCCTAGACCCCCGAATTCCCTGGCGCTCTCTGCACCCCGGGCCACACTCACCATAAGCTGGAGGCGGCGAAGTGAGGTGCCCTCTTCTCCCGCACCGTCGGCAACTTCGCGGCAGGTCAGCCCCGCCCTGGAGCCCCTGCCTGGGCGTGGCGAGGGTCCCGCCCTACGGGGGCCCTGACGGCCACTGGGCTGGGGTCTGAAAAGCCGGAGTTCTCAATCCTAGGACTGGCAGTCCGCTCTTCCTCGCGCTACCTGTGCTGAGGCTCGGAGTTCTCTCGCTCCGGACGCCGGGGCTGGGCGCACGGCTGTCCCCTCCAGATGCGGAGTGCTCTGCTCGCTCCTTCCCTCTCCGGCCCCAGAGGCGCACGCGTGGGTCCAGCCGCCGCGCCTCCGCTCCCGGGGCTAGCAAAGCGCCCCGCGCCCCCGCGGTGCAGCCGGGCCGGGGCGAAGGGGGAGGGATTCCCCTGGTCGAGTTCGGGCTTCCCCACCCGGCGCGGACCCCGGGCTCTGGCCGCTGCCGCGCCGCTGCGAGCTGCACTTCAGGGCAGCGCAGCCAGTGCCACCGGCTCCAGCTGGAGGAGGCGGCGGCGGCGCGGTTCGCACGGGGACTGGAAAGGAGGTGACCTTCAAACCCCGCGCTCGGGGAGACCGGGAAGGGGGGCTGGGGCGATGAGGGAAGCGGCGTGCACCCGGACGGCCCGCAAGAGCGCGTGCGGGCGGGCGGGAGAAAACCGAGAGGGAAGCTTTGAACAAAAATATAGATTAGAAAATAAACAAAGGAGAGCGAGAGAGCGCGCGAGAAAATGTGTGCGTGTGTGTGTGTGTGTGTGCGTGTGTGTGCGCGAGCGCGCGACAGGCAGCGAGCAGCCCGGGCTGCGGAGCCAAAAATAATCCGGTGAGCGAGGGAGCGCCCCCTCCCCCTTCCCTTCGCCGGCGCCGCCGCGGTCACGCGTGCAGCCCTGGATTCCAGCGGGCGGCGGCGGACGCGCGACCCGGTGCCTCGGGCTTCTCGCCTGCAGGGGAGGAGTGAAAGTTGGCTGCCCGGGGGTCGGGGGGCGTGAGCCCGGGTCTTCCACTGAGCGCTCCAGTCCTCCTCCTCCTGGAGTGGTTAGCTCACTGAGCACCAGGGCCTTCCTCCTGACCCCCCATCGGAGTGGACCAGTGCCCAGGAGAAACACCACATAGAGACAGCTTTTTGCCCCAATTCACTTCTACTCTGAGGAAGTTTTGCGGCGAATCTTCAAATCTCGCGGCCAGGCAGAGATGGATCCCTATCCAAGATGCGAAAAAGTTAGCCAGGCCAGATGCTGTCAGGGCGCCATCGCCGCGGGGCTGGGCCGCCCTCCTGCCTCCCAGCTGACCTCTCCAGTCCCGCTCTCTTCGGGCCTCCTAGCGCTGCACCAGGCACCGATTCTACGTGGAGTTTAAAGATTGTCCTCTTAGCCTCAGAGCCAGAAGCCTCATGGCTCCTTAATGCCTGCTATCACTGAATAAGCACTTACGTTGCTCCAGATGCTGTTTTAGGCAGTTAGCACTGAGTCTTCTCACCAACTTGAGGAAGTAGATACTGTGGATTCATCCATTTCATAGATACTTAGAGAGGTTGAAGCAACGTTTCTCCTTCCCTGAGTTCTACTCTGGACTCTGAATGGGAAAACCTGCTCCCCGCAGCCTTTTTCTTTTTCTTTATTTTCTTTGATGAACATTGCATGATAAAAGTTTGGGTTCAGGGAGTTGTGATTTATTCAAGGTCACATAGCAGGCAAAGAACCAGGACCTCCAGGTGGCCCACCTGATTTTATGTGGCGAACCACTCTACCACTTTGCTTAGAATCTGGGCAGATGGCTCTGGACAAGACCACACTGCAATCTGATTCCAATCTTGAGCATTTGATCTGAGCCTTGTGCTGATTTTCCTGTCTCAGGATTGTGATTGCAGGACTGTACGATTTCCAAAGGCAGGGACCACTTCATATCTATTCCTTTCTCCCCTGTGTATTTCATAGTACCTAACAAATACTAGATTCATTAGGAGTTTCTTCCTCTTATCAGACTGGGGTTTTTTTCAGTAGTAGAATAAAACAAAGAGGGAGCTTCTTGCCTACAACTGGAATTATTAAAAACCATACAACATTTGATCATCATCTGAAAAAAAAAACAACTTTGCAAAAATCTAGAAAGATATCTCTATCATTGGCCCCAATTATTTTGCAGTTGGGGAGGGTTTTTACCATTTGTTTTCTTAGGACCCTCTTTGACAATAATATATTTGTATGTAAACAAGTATTATTTTTTCTTTATACTGGTCTCATCTTTCAGTGATAGCACAGTTGAAGCCATAAATCTGGGTTAGTAACATCATAATCATTTTCCCCCAGAAACTGTTTACATGGGGAAACCAGTGAATTTAAATGCAATTGTCTCGCCATGCAGGGAGATGAGATGGGTTGTAAAAAGAGGTATTCTCAATTTAAAAGCAAATTATCAATAATGAGAGAGGAAATAAATGGCAGTTAATGGAAGTTCTGCTGAAATATAATGTTTTGTGCAAATTTGCCAGCAGGAACTGTTTCTTTATATTTCTTCATTTTTATTCCAGAAGGGGGGAAAAATGAAAGCAGTCATTCAAGGCAGAAACATTGGCTGTTGTTTCATTCATAATTGCTGGGCTCTTTGGTTGTTTTTTTTAATATGTATTTTTACTACTGGAAATGAAATAAAACATATTCAACTATCTGAAAACCAAGGTCAGTCTGAGTCTGCTGTGATTTATTTATTTTAGAGCAGGAATAGGCTTAGATACATTAGCTATGGGTGTTGAGTATGACGCATGGGTACTTGCATTGCTTCATGGCTTAAGGAAGCTTAATCTGAGTGTGGGGGACATCCATTCCAATTTACAACAAAATTAGAGTAAAGATCAATATGGCATGCCATTATGCTATTCATTTGGAAAGTACTAGTTTCTTTTTCCCATGACCTTTCTCATTACAGGTAAAGTTTTTCTGTCATTTCTCCACGTTGAGCTGCAGAAAGTTAATAGGAGATGCTCAAGTAGACAGCTCCTTAGAACAACCCGAGGCAAGAGCCACCCAGCTACAGTATGATGGTTATAAAGAACATGGAGACTTTGGCTCCTCCTACTGGATATGAAAAATACTTTGCTATTTGTGATATAAGTAAATGTCAAAAATAATGCTCTCCATAAAGCTGGTTTAAAAAAAAAAAAAAGGAATGACTCCGTAGACTCACGCTTAGACCAAGAGCTACCTCAAGTGTAAATTTCTTCATCACCTCACTTACAAACTTAGACTTTCCGCATAGCTCTCCGTTGTTCCCCAAAGAGCAGGTCTGTTGCCCTCCTGAATTATCTGACCCCACTTAAATTGACCCTATTATCTAGAGGTGCTTTTCCCTTTCTGGTCTCCAATTCTTTCGCACACTGTTCCTCCAAGTCCTACTACTCCCACACAGTCTCTTTTTCTGTCTAGTCTCCATTTATTTTTAGATTTCCATTTTGACATTGCCACCTCCCTATGAACCCCTCCACTCCCTATCCCAACCCTCACAGATAAGGCCCTCTTGTGAACTCCTCTTACACCTATATTTAAATTTATCATGTCCTTTGTCTCAGCCTACTGTAAATGTCATTGTCCATTAAACTGAAAGGTCCTTGATGTCAAGGACTTGCTCCCTGGTGCAAAGGGCCTGCAGTGTAGCTCAGTACATGTTTGGTAAGGTGACCCTTCCTTCTGCCCTGAAGTTGATTGCTGCTGTCCAGATGGACTAATGACTTTGGGATGGCTTGAGAGCTCAACCTTCTCATCGCCTTATGTAGTTCTTCATTCTTCCAGTCATCAAACATGCATCTTTCTTGAGGCTAGTCCTTCACATAAGCCATTCATTTTAGTACGTAAAACTAGGCACAGTTTCTGCACTCAGAAAAGCATATAGTCTAATAGGATAAGTGAATTATGTACATCTGTGATTGCAACAGTTTTGAAAGATTTGGCCAATACTGAAGGGGAACTTATAGCCAGACATGGAGGAAGGGGAGAGGTCAGAAAAGATCGCCTGTAAACAGACAAGATAAACAGCAATTACCCAGAGAGGTGAGTGAAGGATGGTCGTAAAGAAAAGTACATCTTGAGAGAGTTTCGGGAGCAAAACAGGATAGTGCCTTCTTAGATAATGCCTTCAATGTGGAGTCACGTTGAGTTCTAGTGGTTGGAAAGTGGTGTGGCAGCAAGTCAGTAGGAGCTGAAACTCAAAGCGTGGGCTGGGGAAGGCTCACGCAGAGCCCTGACTTGCCAAGACCCACCGTCACCATACGTGAAGTGCCTTCACTGACATTTCAATGACCATTTCACCCTACTGTTATCTCGTGTTTGTTTAAGAATTTTCTAGGTGGTCCAGGTAGAGGATTAGTAGACTACTCCAAAATATTCCAGGATTTTTAGGAATGATCAGTGGTATGTTAGATAGGATAGGAGAAACATGAAAAAAAGTGAACCAAAGACAATCAGAGTAGCCAGGCATCTTTCCATTCCTCCTCAAGTCAAAGAAGAGAGTTCATTTATAATACAAGTTTATTTATAAGTGACTCTGGGCTCAATAAAATTCTTTGCACAAGTCTAATATTACATAAGACCTGCCTTGCCCTCAAGTTCTCAGTTTTCAGGCTTACCTGAAAGCTTTATCACAGTCTGGGTCGACTAATGAACTAATTAAACCAGTCTGAGGACCACAGGGGAATGGATTGCACCTTATGTTCCCTCTTCCTCCGTCAGTCCTTGGGCACATGGCAGATACTCGATATATAGTTATTGATTGGTTGAACTAACTCACCATCTATCATGTGGTTCAGGGTTTTGATATTAACCAAGGCACTTAATACGGAGAATGAACTCTCCAGTGTCCAGGAATGAGTTCTGTTGTGGGTTTTTTTGGTTTTTTTTCCTGAAAAGACACAAGCTTCCCCACTCTGTTTTAAAATGTTGTTGAAATAGTAAACATGATGGTTTCTCCTATTCTCCTTGGGCCCATCTGTCTGTCCATTTTTCTGTCCTGTCTACATCTGGCAAATGATGAAAAAGTAAGCTGAACAGTGGTTAGAATAAGAAAAGTAATAAAAATAACAAGCATGTAACATTTACTACATAAACTCTTTAGCTGTATGATCTCATTTAGTCCTCCCAGTGTAACTCTAGGTATAAATACTATTATGATTTTCTTTTTTATAGATGAGCATATCAAAGTTTAATAGTAAAGAAATTTGGTGCCTTGGCCACACCCACAGAGCTGGCAAGTGGTCAGGCTAGGACTCAAAACTAAGTCTGTTGATTGTCACAGCTGGCTTCTTGTCTGTCTGTTTACTAAGAGTCATACTCCGTGAAGGCAAGCTTAGAATTATGTCAGTGATTTATGATCATGAGAGTAGAGATTCCTGTCCCACTGGTCTTAGAGTAAGAAAAAAACAAAGGGAAGCTCAGTAATCTTCAGCACCAAAAAGAGCCTGCATATGTAAAAAGCATTTTGGAAGCAAATAGTTTGAATTTGATCAGAATGAAGGAAAGATTCCTGACTGCTTAGTCTATAATAAGTACAGAATCAGCTAAGTCTTTGGTTCAGGGAAGGCTAGTTTATACGTGGTTTAGTGTATCTTTATTACAAACACAATTGTACATTTTTAAGAAACAAGTGGATAAAACTCATGAGTAAGACAGTCTGCTTTCATGCCTTATATCTACCACTTAATGGCAATGTGAACTAAATATATTTTTTA